TGGGGCGACGGCATTGACACTGACGGAGAATTGCTCAACCAGTTGTTGTTTGCAGACAACGTCATCGTCTTTGCCAAATATCCGGCGGAATTCTGACCAAAGATTATGCAGTTGCAGAAGGATTCATGCGCCATCGGTGCGGAGATGAGCATCTCCAAAATGAAATTGACACTGAAAGAAAACTGTTCCTCAGGCAAAATGTTCGAAGAGGGCGAAGATGTAGAAAACGTTGCAATTTGCCCATACCTCAGCCACATAATGGACTCAAATGAGAACTCGGACAAATGGACTCAGCGGCGATACCTGAAGAAGAACGAAGCCGGCATCGGAAAGTTTCGATCACATCGTAACATCACTGCTCATGTGCACGGACGAAGAACTGCTCACCTCCGTCATCGTACCATGGTTCATGACGCGAAATTCTGGTCTATCACCAAGACTGAGGGAAAGAAACGGTGGTAATGCAAGTCTATGTTCGAGACCATGTTCAAAGTGCAATAGTTTGGTTTCGGATACGACGCTTGTACTCACTGGGGCGCAAAACTCGAAGAGTCGGATTGGCCATGTGGCTTGTCTGAAAGACAATAGATGAGCACTCCGAGTTATCAACCAAGACCCTATCGGCAGCAGACGTCCACTCTGTTGCCAACACTTGAAATGCTCTATAAGCTATGACCAGCTCTTGAGTTCACCACTCTTTGACGTTTGGTTGGTCTCGGGGCACTGCAAGATGATTACGTTATACAACAGCAGGAAAATCCTTTTTCGTTGACCTCCAATCCAAGTTATGTGCATAATTCATTGAGGAAAAATAATTATCAGATATATCATGCCTGATATTCGCGAAGGAACTTAATCAAACTATCTCACAAAGGTAGAATCTCATCGTAAATGAGATCCTCCAGCAGTATGAGAATTCTGAATACACTGATGTATGCACAACTGTTCATTCTTTTAATTCTTGAATCCTTCCTTTATTCTTTATTCTTCATCAGATCGTATGGCCGTGCACCTCATTAATTCTAGTTTGGTCTTACCAAAGCAGCATGCTGTCACTATTATTTGCAGGTCAATGACCTGCGACCTTTCCATCGGCTGGTTTCACCAAATCACAATGGAAGGAATTCCCCTTGCTCGATGGAACTAATAGTTAATAAGAGGTACTTCGCGCCTCCCTCTGCGTTGCCTCCTGCACTCTAAGGCATAGAGTAGTGTGCAGACCGACTGTCCAATACC